CCATCACCTCCACCCCGTCCCGCTACCCCACACCTATTTCACAACTCCCAAGCCAATAAACAGGCTGCCGCGCCTCGTAATATTGCAGAAATTAATTTTGCACGGGAGCGCGCGGATTATCGCTGGTGAAGCGCTATGTATACCTCGCGGGCCCGCTTTTATATAACTTGGAACGCCCTGAATCCGAGAGGCGACGGGGCGTTGTTTCCCGCCTCGGTGGGACCATCGCGGCACGCGCTAAGGGCTTATTTATATTTTCATTAGTAAACGCGAGTCGAATCTTTCATAAAAACGCCTTTTCCAGCAGCTTTATTTATACGAGCGGCGGCCACCAGTCTTTATCATTCGGCAGACGAACTATGCGCTTTTGCGAATTAATTGCGACTAAAAGGATCGAGGAAAGTTCAAATACGTTCGTACTCTTCGTAGTTGAATTATTCGACATGTCGGGCTGATGTTGCAATTCGTTATGTGGGAATAATGATGTTGAAGGGGTAGTACAGATAAAGGACAAGGTATGTATGTATAATTAACCGATGGAGGAGGAATTTTCAATGATCGTTCGTGCTGCGTTCGTACACTAAGTAAGAAGAAAACCAACTGCTCGAAGTAGCAATTTAAATCATTCTGGTAATTTACCATTTTATAATAAGATGTAGATGATGTTTTTGCCGTAGAGATAAAAGTTTGAAATCTACAGGGCTGTGAACAATGTAAAGTTTTAAAATGGCGAGAAGGAAATTTAAGTCGCAGAAAAGTTGAGAAAAATACGGTTAAAGTTCCCCCGACGTAATATAGACGGACAGCTTATGCACGTATAAATGTATGATTATGATGATATATTCGTGTATTCAGTATCGGTAAGTGCACACGGTTATGCCGGTTGGATAACTATGTCGATGTGTCGATATTTTGCATCTATTTTGCATCTTCGTCTGTACTCGCGATCGGAAAAGTCGCGACGGTCGTGTTGTAAAAAAGTAAAGGGTCGTCGAGGAGTCGTCGACGTATCTCTTCATTTGCAACGTCGGATAAGAAAATCCCGACAGGCTTATTATTCGGCGAACAAAAGGTCGCGCATTCTCATGTAAATTGCAACGAGCGTTGCGCGGCTAATGCGTTTTTACATCGGGGCCATTACGTGGAACGATAAATCACCGTTCGGGATACTTGTGCCCCGGACTGGTAAAATTTCTCGCGGGAAAGTTTCGCGCAAAAAGCTACAAAGCCCCGGCGCTTATCCGATATTCTGAATTTCACATTGGTAATCTCGAGCCGAGTCCCAAGGAAGACCGCAAAAATGTGGCCCGCAAAGGGTTGAGCCCGGCCAGTTTGGCCATCGATCTCCAACCCCAAACGCGGCAGGCCTTTGAGAGGTGGCCGTCGGCAGCGGGTGAGCCTCGCTTTTGCAGCCCCGCCCGATTATACTTAGCCCGCGACGGTGGTCGGTGGGCGGGGGGGGGGGGGGGCGGGCAGCTCGTAAATTCACGTTCGCGTGCCCGCCCGCACGCCTTCCACGGCAACGACGACTGATTAAAAAATCGTCGATCCGTGCGACCCATCTCACCGCCTCTATTTTTTAGTTATTTTGTTTTTTTTATTTTGTTGTTTTAGTGGCCTTCCATTCATGGATTTTTTATTACCGATTTTTCCCATAACCTTTAGGCAAATTATGGAAATTTTTTTTTTTTTTTTTTTTTTTTTTTTTTTGTTTTCCCCCTCGGCCGCGCTGATTAGTCAGAACTCAGTGCGGAATCCCGAGATCGTAGTGACGACCGATCCTTTTTTAAGTTTTGCTCATTTTAAGCACTGGCCTAGCAGGATGCAATTAGAAAATTGATTCCAGCGTGAAGATAAGGTCGATGTAAGTCAGGTATCGCGACCGCTGAGGAGGAAGATGGAAGGCCACGATTCGCACAGTACTTTCTACAGTATAATTTACTAATTCTTCGTTGACGGAGATTTACGGTGAATAAGTCATCGCCTTAGAGGGCCTTAAAAAATTTATCGTAAGAGAGAGAGAGAGAGAGAGAGAGAGAGAGAGACGTAGGAAGAAAATTGTAAATCTATAGGCTTTGAAAAGTACAAACTCGAAAAGTAATTTTCGTAAGCTTCGTCTTTATTTTGGCTTTGTTAAATTTAAATCTCTATTAAGTTATTCGAGTCGAGAGATTCTTTGTGAGTGGATTTTAGTTGTTCGGAGGGAAACAAAGCCAAATTTTCAAAGAAATGCTCAAAACCGTCGCTATATAATTAAGTCGAATAATTTTACGTTGAAATGCGAGAAAAATATTTAGCACGGCTTCTTGTTTACTCGAAATAACAATCGAGCTTTTTATAGCTAAAAATTGTCTTTATTATGGAATTAAGTGAGAGAGTGCAGATGCATCGAAATTTCTAAAATTTTCAAGAGCCGTTAACGTTCGTAATCGATTGCCTTCATGTGCGTGCCAAATGGATTTTCGATAATAGGACCTTGTAATACTAGAATTCAATTTGAATATCTTGCAATTACTTGATTTTATGTTTAACGAATTATAATGTCGTTATGGTAATATAATTTTCAATTTCCATTAAATTCATTAAAATTTAAAAACGGATTTGCAGTATTAGTTAAATACATAATTCCGTTTCGATATTATAAAATACGAAACCTGTCATTATATTCTGTCGTCTCAATTTGAAAATATTGCCACTTTTATTTCGAATTTAATCCATAAATTCTTGCTTTATAAAATAAAGGATTATTCAGTCGGCAATTCAATCTAATCGTGCAAGGGAAATACTTATCAACGTAATTTTTTTTTTTTTTTTTTTTTTTTTTTTGGTTTTTTTTTTTTTTTTTATAATTTACGGCTACCCGTGCCATTATATCATCGGAATAATAAAAATTAATTCAAAAATATACGATATAGCTTGTTCTAAGCACGGTAAATTTTAAATGTAAGAAAGCTATTGCTCGCGAGAAAAGTTATTTTCAAATATTTAAATGCAATCGAGCCTGCTGAATGTGAGAGAGAAAAAGTTCCTTTTAAAAAATTACGTATAAAAATTTATGGACAATAAAATTGATGAATTATGTTAATTATCAAAATTAATGTAGATTAAAATTAAAGCTCGATTTTACGGTCGCTTTTGCGCATAATTGGCATTTGTCGTTCACAAATATCGTCGACCTATTGGATAAATAATGCACACGCGGTGTGTGCTTGAATATAGCCGAGGGAAAAAGTTAAAAGTAAAGAGAGTGGAAGCGAATGAGAACTGTACGAGGGAAACGGAAAAGTTATTGCGAGTTGGAAAATAATAGAGAAGGATGAGAAGGGGTAAGCGAATGGAGTACTGTAAGACGATATTTTGATCCAGATATTTTTGGTCGAAATCTTTCTTATCGTAGCTATGGAGAATTCGCAAGTAAAGTATATAGTTAATAGAGGGATGTGCTGATAGTGTAAAATTTATCGAAACTAGTCGCGTTTTTTTTTTTTTCTCGTGTTTTTCAACACACCTTTCCTTCGATAATCCGTCGATAAACATTAGATTAAAGAAACGAAAATTTATACCATAGAATATTCGACACTTTTCATACACTCCTAATTAACCTAATCATTTTTACAAGTTTCAATTACAATACTCTGTAATACAGACTTTACGATTTTTATATGAAAATGGAACAAATTTCGCTATTGTTCTTGTAAATAATAAAAATTATAGCTGCAAACAGTTACGTATGCGAGATAATTAGCTATACTCATGCTAATTATCGTCATTGAAATCTTACAAGGACTGTAAGAACATTGCACAGAAAATATTGAGAAAGTTATTATTAATGAAATTATCCCTCAACCTATAAACCTATGCTCTAAAAGCCATATGCCCTCTGTGTAATAATTATGTTCGTTAGAATTCGATTTTTAAATTATACGAGCAGTCCTTTAACTTAATAATTCATAATGTCTATTGGCAGTCGGTAAATAAGTTTCCCTTGTCCTACCCACTAATCGGTTAAAATGTCATTAGCACAGCCATTCAATACGGAAAAGCTAAATAATTAAATATCCGATTCTTTCAGACCCGAAGACGGCGCGGAGGTGGTGGCAAGTGGGAACAGTGCACCTTAAAGCGTGGGAGATTAAGGAAGAGGACGCAGGGAAGCAACGACAACAGCATTATCCAGTAACCAATAGAAGATCTCGAAATGAAAGGAGAGGAGCGAAGACGATGACTATGATGGGACGAGCGCAAGGGGCTTCGACGACAAAAAGTACAAGCATCTGCACATGTGCGTACGCTCACAATTCGCAAATTGCGTTCAATCCTTTATCGCGCCCAAGGAGTCCAGCAGCGTCGATAAAACGAAATGTGAGAAGAGGGAAGGGCATTTAGACGAACGCCCGTCGCAGTGATGAAGGAGAAATATCATCGGCCACCTTAGCGATTGATTAAAGCGAAAGAAAGAAAGAGTGAGAGGGAAGAAGGAAACGGGAATCCTTTTTAAGCGCGAGCGAGAGAGACGAGAAGGAAGATCTCACTATTCTTCTTCTTCTTCTTCTTCGTCTTTACTGATCACACTTTAATGTTTTAATAAAAGAGAGTATGAAAGTGAAAGAGAGACAAAGAAAGCGTGAGAGTATGTAAGAAAACGAACGAGAGCAAGAGCATGAGAGAGATAGAGAGAGAGAGAGAGAGAGAGAGAGAGAGAGAGAGCGTGAGCGTGGAGTGGGGTGAGGTGAAGAGAAAAACAGGGATTAAAAAATTGTATAAATGGGCGTGAAAGTAAGCGAGTGAACAGTTGATAATTGAAAGGAAAACTTGCGAATATAAAAGACGAACCACGCGGAGCATTAAATATATAACGTGTAAAGTAAACGAGTGTGTCATGTGGCATTTGTACATATTAAAAATGAAAAGAGAAAAAATAATAACGAACATCGAATTGAGTCTTTTTGTTACAAGTCACCCGTGAAGATCAAATGGATTATAAGAATAAAATGTACGGTTATTTGTTTTTATTGCGAAACGTATTTTAAATATTCTCAAAAGATTTTATTTAGTTTTATAGAGGATGATAGAAACAAAAAAAATTACATAATTTCGAAATGATTATACGTGGCGCATTATCAAAATATATTCTACGAAGAAAATAGGAATATAATTTTAAACAAAAATCGATCGATTAAATTTCTTCTTCTTCTTTTTTTTTTTTACCTTTTTTACACAAATATTTTATCATCATAGGCAAGTAAACGTAAATTTTTCATTACGAAAAGAAAAGAAAGAAATACAATAATTTTATTAATATGACAATGAAGCGTTTATATTTCTTATCGTTTTGTCATATTTTTATTATACCAAAACATCAAGCTGTTCAGATCTACGTATTTGAATGTAAAAAGTGACGCGATTCTTGTGAAAACCAATTTTTCAAATATTATACGTTAATCAGTTTTGTGCAAAAATTATTAGATATAATCAACAACAATTGGATTGCGAAATAAGGAACAAAACAAACAATAAATAAGTATGAATACGAATGTGTGAATGAAAGGAGCAATGTTGAAAAAATGTATTAAAAGGAAACAAAATCCGTAAAAATGCTTTCGTATAATAAGTAACGTAAGAAGTTTATTTGGCGTTAAAAGCGCAAACATCGGTTGACCATGATGTGACAGTAGTTGTTTTGACGTTTTCACGCAAGTTTAGAAAATATAATGAGCGCCAGAGAATTGTAAAATGTACGTAAATAAGAATGAAACCACAATTCGAAAGCACGATTGTATGAAAAAAAAAAAACAAAAAAAAAACAAAAAAAAAACTATTGTTTCCTTTTTCAAAAACATCTGCAAATTCAATTAATATATTATTTTTTTCATTCAGACTACTTATAATTTTCATTACAATTAAATTTCTTAAATAAATGGCGAATTTTGTATTTTATAAATTCAAAAAATATTCTTACAATCATAACGTAATGAAATAAAGTAATAAGATTTTGTTTCTTTCAATCGTACTTTCGATACGAAAAAAATTAATATTAACAAATGAAAAAATCATAGTGCGAATTCAAAATTTAATTAGCTACTTCTTTATTTATTACTTGATATACAAAGACATTAAACACCAAATTTACAATGAAAAAGATTTTGACTTCGCTCATTGATTTCCATTTACTGTGCAAATACTGCATGATACAAATACACCATCGCGTGTTATTAACATTAATTATTATTAATTCATTTAGGTATACTGAGGTATCTCGTATGTTTAGTAATTGAAAAATGTCGTCACGCGTTTTGTCATCTCTCAATAATGATGAGACGAGAAAAAAAAAAAAAAGAAACTTATTGGAGATAAAAAGTACAAATTCTGTAAGACCCTTGTGTAAAACGTGTGTGTCATCACCTTTTTTAGTGATCGATACTTAGATCGATAATTATAGATGCTCCGGTGTATCGACAGGAAAATAAGTGCAAATGAAATGATAGTAAAAACGAAAGATTAGGTCGATGAAAGAATGTGTTTGAGTGGTTAGTAGAACGAAGAGAAATTTAAAAATGAAATGTAATGAGATTGATAAATACAAAATAATTTTTTAAAAATCACTTCGAGGCAGAAGTCTATCGTTTAATTTATTCACTAATATATATACTACAATTTGTGTATATATATGCTAAGTTAAAAATTATAATTTAATTACATTGTATTATTTTTTATAAATTATTTATTGGAAATTATTGGATTTATTTATATGAAATCTAAATTGTACGTGTTCGTGTTCAAATTAAAAGACATTCTTATGTTTTAAAGTTTAATATTGTAGATTTCAGTCTCGAAGTTTCACTAGAGTTGTAAACGTGGAAAAGAAGGAGGATAGAGAGATAGAGATAGATAACGAGAGATTGATAGATAGATAGATAGATAGATAGATAGATAGAGAGAGAGAGAGAGAGAGAGAGAGAGAGAGACAGAGACAGAGTTTTTTTACGATTGATAAGTTTGAAAGAAAGCTAAAAAATAAGCAGGTTACAGAGTCGAAGCTTGCGATGTAGATTTTTAAGATTAGCTAGACTGACATAAAAAAATTTAAAAAAAAACGTAACGAGTGATCTCTGAAAACGATTGTGTAAAAAAAAAAGTCGCAATGATGAAAGACAAAAAAGCGAGATGGAGGCCAAGAGAAATCAAGAGTGACCAAGCGAGAGAAACAGAGTGAGCAAGAGAGAGAGAGAGAGAGAGAGAGAGAGGGAGAGAGAAAGAATGCAAAAGGAAACAATGATAAGGATTTATATGCAACGTCGTGTCGACTATCAATTGATAAATTAAAGCTGCAACGCAAGATTCCAAAAGCTATAGTAAGATTTTGATAAAATTTGGAGATGACCTCGAGCATTATACCTACGTATATTTTTATCGGGGCACTTTCGATTCTGGAAAATAATTTTAGCTCAATTATAATAACAAAAACAATCAAACCATGAATTAATTTAGTTGAATTAATGGTACGAGTACAGTCACTATAATATTGTATTTATTTTTTAATATATTTTTACTTTTATTTTCGGATCAACTTAACATTACATTTTACCTTTTATTCATTAGCTTGTGTTTTCTTACTTTGAATTGAAAAAAGCACGCCGCGCGCTCACGACTTTTAATAAACGAACAAAAGAAAAGTGCTGAATTTAGAAAGAAGATGATAAAAAGTCAGCAGCGCGTTGTTGTATCAAGAATTCGCTGCTTCGCCGAATAAAAAAAAAAAAATACGAATGAGAGAAAGAACGTCGAATACAATCATATTGATTGTTTTACAAACTCACGTGGTTGATATGTATGCATAACACAATTTGACGGAAATACTCAAGTAAAATATTGTTTTCTTTAATTTTATGTTGCAAATCACTTTATTTATAACGAAGTGAAATTTTTAGGGGTTTATTAGTGCTGAACATTATTGCTTGCTATTTTTTTTTTTATAGTAGTCTATGACTATATTATTTTATGAGACGCATAATCTTAAAGACAATTATCAGTTTTGCAGAGTTCGAAATGGACAGTAGAAAAGAAAATAAATGTACTTATGATGCCGTCAATATTTAATAAATTAACATCATTTGCGAGTTTATTCTTAAAAGGTCTCTTTAAATGCTGAAACTATCAAATTAATAACGTCGTAAAAATGTGAATAACCATTGCTTAAAGTTATCAAAAAGTATGAGATAATTTTTTATTTAATTTCCAATATGTATCGTCTACAAGTCAAGATATTAATTTAAACAAGGGGAAAAAAAAAAAAAAAAAGCGTTCAGCACTCGTTTTTATTATTATAAGAGAATTTTTGAAAAATTACTAATTATAAGGTTATGAAAAAGAATAAATTTCGCACAAAACATTCCTTATTAGAGAAGAATATAATTATAAAAAGCTATGTACTCGAAGATAAATAAATTGAAAAAAAAAAACAGAATCGAGAATGCCTCGGAGTATTCATTCACGTTGGTTGATAAATGTTTTTGGTCTTTTTTTGTTTTGTTGTTTTTTTTCTTTGAGTGAGAGAGAGAGGGGGGGGGGAAGCAGTCGAAAATCATAAGAAGCGCCATAACAGAGCATTTTAGTACAAAACCAGTGAAGTTGAAGGAAGAAAATTATACGAGGTGATAAAGAAGTATACGTAAATAAACATGATTAAAGTCGAGTAGTTTCACTGGTAAAGATCTGAATGAGAGAGATAAAGAAAATGACGGAATATAGCTGTTCTTTTTTTTATACTTCCGAAAGTATTTTAATTCAATACTGAGCCGGAAGAAAAGGTCGTTCTTGTAATTTGTATAAATATCACAATACCAATACCATATTCCTTATCGTATAAAATACCGTAATCAATAGTTTGGGGGGGGGGGGTAAAAAAAAGAAGAAGAAAAAAGAACAATACAAGATTTAACCAATAATGCTAAATTTAATACTATTAAAAACAAATATCACGTATCAGAAATCTATTCATTTATTAAATTTGGAAATTGTAATTAGTCGCAGTAAATTTTCTAATTGTATATTTAATTTAATAAATTTCTGTCCAAAGCACAAATATTTTAATCAATGCAACATTATATACTTTCGCATTAAAACAAAAACAAAAATAAACAAACAAATGAATAAAAAATAAAAATAAAAAAATTCAAAAAATGATGAATTTTCATATTAAGAGTGCATGTCAATATAAGCAGTGAAAATATCAGCGTTGGATTACATGAAATTTTAATATACGTATTAAAAAAATTATTTCATAACTTCCCTTAATAACGACGAACAAAGATATAAGAAAATATTATGAAAAAAAAAAAAAAAAAAAAAAAAAAAACCAAGCATCAATACGTTGGTTACAAAAATATTACCTCGGCATAAATAATAAATAACAATAATAAAGCGCAACTTACGAAAAGCGTGAAATGTCTAAAAACGAAATCTTGAAATTGTCGTGAATGATAAAAGTAAAGAAAAATCCGCGCCTTCGGTAAGT